TCTCTACCTTGTCAATCTAGGTAGACTGCTCTTGGGCCCGTAAAAGGGGCAAAGGCTTGAGTCAAAAGTGCAGCCCACGCTGCTGGTATCTTGCGCTGTCAGGAATTGCTTCCCTTGGGAAGGCTGGTTATCACAGGGGACTTCCCCCTGCTTTCTAGTGAGGACAGGAGTGTTTGGGACAGCTCATAATGACACGGTTGTTTGGAGGTGGGACTCTGCCTGCAGGATTCCTTCTCCTGTGCTGTAGGGTAATTGCTGCTTAGCTGAAGGGCACTTCAGGAGGAGATGAAATCCTTTTTGTGCCTGAACATGGCATTACTTCAGGAACCATCCTCTACCCTGGGGCAGCCCTAGGTTTTCTGTACCTATTGCTAATGTGCTGACAAATAGTTAATTCTATTGCTTCTTCTACAGCTATCAAAATAGGAAATGTTCTTCAGTTTCTGTCAGCCTGTTGAGAGATCTTTGCATTGAGGACATGCTAATTGAAGACAATTGAATCCTGTTGATTAATAGGTGTCTGGACTGGGTTAGAGTTTTCATGCTGAACATGTGTCATTTTTGACTGATGGTCCAGTTCTGTAATGGTGCAGGTTAAAAGGAGAACTGACCACTGGTTAAAGAGCAAGGGTGCTTCCAGATGGAAAGCTCATGGCCAGTTAGAAGGCAATGTGCAGCAATTCAGACATTATTCTCCATGGATTTTCTTCAGTAAGGAAAAAGTCAGGCACAGTGGCAGAAAAACAGTGGAGAGTTATGACCAGAAGATAACATCTGGACCATCCCCATAAAATTCTGTGAATAAGGTAGCTTGATGGATTAGAGCCTCATCAGGAAGAAGAGAGTAGTTTGACAGTTTTGTGCTGGAAGAATATAAACAGTGAGGTCCCCTTATTAAGAATGATGCTCTTTAGCTCATTCATAAATGAACTGGAGAAAGAGGGAGCAGCAAGGTGGTCAGGTTTGCTGACAGTAATAATGTATTGCCAGGGTTAAAAAAGAGAAAGGATAACCAAGAGCTCCAAAAATTTGCTGGAGAAGATGAGCATTCAAATAGTAAATCCGGTTCCGTATAAGTAATGCATATTGGAGTAAAAAATTCCAGCTTCATCTATGCTTTGATAGTGCCTTTGCTGGTGGTGACTGAGAGAGCATGGAGTTGGAGTAGCTAGCTGGATGAAGGCCCAATATGTAACTGCTGTGCAAAAGGAAAATTTCACAATAGGAATTGTGGAAATTCATTAAGAAAGCAATTAAACTGTCCAAATCCTAATGCTTTATATGTGTCTGCAGTGTGACTATTTTTAGAATACTGTGTACAGTACAGCAGTTCTGAGCTTCACCCCCCCCCCCAACTGATATTGTACAAGTAGATAAGGGCAGCTAGCATGATCAGACAACTTGAGAAACTTCCCTGTGATGGAAATTTGCAATGTTTGGGTTTTTCTCACTTAGAAAAAGTAGCTGTCATGTACATGGTAAAAATGTAGATGTAACAAAAAGGCACTATTTTTCAGGATGGTAAGATTAGTGGAATGTATTAAAACTAATATTGATATTAGTCATGGGGTGCTAGAACTTGTGGGGATCAGGTGCTTGGCCTGGAATTTCCCTTGCTGGGTGAAAAGTCTTATTATTCTGCTTATTTGTTGCTATAAAGTGAAAACTTGTAGCATTTCTGTTTGATAGAAACATACTAAATATATATATATGAATGGGATTGGCTTGAATAAATGGGCCCCTGGATAAATTATCTGAATTTAGAAACTGGCATGTAAGAATGCTAGCTGGAAGTTAGTGGCCAGTTAATCTATGTATAAACAGCTTGTAGAATATTGTAAAAATGGAGTATTATTTGGACAGGCAGTTCAGCTACAATTAATGCCATTATCGTTGCCATGAAGTTTCTTCCAAAGTACCAATTTTTCAAGGTTTTGACATTAATACTTGGAAAGTCATGTTTGCTTGCCTCTAATGAGGTGCAGGTAAGAAGCCAGCTTGAGAGAAAGCAATTTGTTGCTTAATTACCTTGAATTCTGAAGCTGTAAGTAGCTAGTGACTGATTGTGCTGTTTGCTCAAACACTTAAACCCCTTGTTAAGGTACAACACATTAAACTTATGACTGTTAAAATAATTTTAAAGTATGAAGAAACACATGTTAGGTTGGATCTAAGTCACGAAACTGGAAGAAATGAAGGTCAGTGCATTGTCCTTGATGTGAAGTCTAGAGTGCGCTCAATTTTGTTTTAACTGCAAAAATAGATGAAACTTGCAAGAAGGTGAACACTTGTAGTGAAGATTGACCCTGCAATAGGTATGCTGCTTAACTATAAGATAACTCAGTATTGAACTAAAAAGGAAGTCCATGGAGACAATCAAGTGTTAGCACAATGACTTGGCTCACAAAGCACCCATACCCATGATGAGTTATTGAGGCCTGTGAACCCAGTCCAACTTCTCCACAGTGGTTTCATTGTGGCTATTTTTGTACTCCAAACTTTTTGTGTGTATTGCAAGGAGATGGTGAAAGAAGGTTGTCAAATCAACTTTGTAGCCCTCTTTTTGAAGGATTGGACAGTCCCCTAGAAGTGCCGCAGTGGTCCCTTTGAGGAACTGGTTATAGCTGTCCAACATTCTAATTATTTTTTGTGTCCAGCAATTTTTCAATTTTTTTTTTATCCACAGTTGTGCAACTGCAGACATTCACAGTTGTGCAGGTTAAGAATTGGGAAGCTTCAGGTGTGCAGTGGAGTGCCTCCTGGCGAAGTCCATCAGGTATCCACTGTGGATATTGCTTCTCAGAGGCTGCAGGTAAGTTCAGTTTTCCCCTTTTCTAAAACATCTGACAGTGATCAAAAGGTGAACTGCCAAATGTAAACAAAAGTATGGATCATCTTAGGGACTAGCAGCTTGTTCACTCTCTGTATGGCAAGATCTTCATGTCCCAAGGGTGCCCTCACTTTTGCACTTGCTCCCAAGATCCTGCTACGTTAAGAACAGGAAAAAATATGAGTGACCCGATTTTCAGGACTATTTAACTTTGACATCTGTCAAAGTTAATGCTACATTTTTAAAGCAAGATTTACAAAGGGTTAAAAAAATTGGTTTTTTGGGGCGGGGAACTATTCTAGTATAGAGACTTTAAACTTTAGAGGGGAAGAAAACAAGGCAAGTTCAAAATGGCTTGCAATCATGGCTGGAAATGGGGAGACAATTCAGTCCTCTTGCAGTGCCTGCTGCTATATCCACAGAAGTGAGAGGGGTCAACAACCCATTGTCTGCCAGGCTCACTGTGAGATATCTGCAATACGACCAGTCCACCATGATTTATTACCAGGGTGAGTTAGTATGACATGCAGCCATGCCTAATCATAGCAAAGTTAATTAAAAATTGGAGCATTGCTATTTCCAAATAAACCCTCTTTGTAACCTAAGGGATGATTTTTGAAACGCTATTCTTTGACAAGCTCCTTTTTCCAGTACAAGTGTTGAAAGGGATTACAGAGAATTAAAAGATCCAAGATGTTTTCAGAATGATCCCTTGTTCAAAAGTCTTGATGTTTCTTCAGAATGCACAGCTTCTACAATGTAATGGCCCCAAGTTGATTCATATTGATTAGCAGTTGGAAATACTTGAATAATTAGCAGTAGTAATGCAAATGTCAATATTCATGGAAGTTAGCTGAGAGAGCTTGCAAACAGATAATTTTTGTAGATATTTAGGTACAAGGGTACAAAAACATCAGTGATCCAGTCTGAACAGGATTTCATTGAGATTTCTTAGTAGTGTTTGCCTTTTGACTAGTGAAATATGGGTGAATATATTTAAAACCATAACTTTCTTAGGTTAGTAAAGACATTTTGAGAATTACTTTTGGCTTTTTACAACTCTCCATAACCAAAGGTTTATGTTAGAAGAGTTTGCCATGTGTTGTGCCCATTGATACTTTCAGTTATTTCAGTGTCTACTGTTCTGTTTTTTAGGGGTTTACTTCAGTCCCTCTTTGGAACTTGATAGAATAGACAGCCAGATCACATGGAGGGGTCACCCAGTGGTTCCTCCAGCAAGCAAGAAGATTTCATAGGCAGTAGCCTCTGTCCCTGACTGCTTGTGCTACTTTATGGAAGTGTCTGAATGAAAGAGAACCTTGGCCTTGCTGTGAGGGTAGTTCTTGCTCTGTTTGTTCAGGTGTAGAGTACCAAGCAGTCTCGCTCACTTGCTGTTGCTAAGATGCAACACCATAATGTAATTTAAAAATTAAGTCACCACCTATACATGGCAATATTGAACTGTGGTTAATTGACTGGCATGTCAATCCTACTTAAACTTTATTGGCCTAAGCATAAATGCAAGAAGATCTGTCATTTAAATTTGTCTGTAGCAGCAAAGCTCCTCATATGAGCTATATGGTTGATACAGGATGCTTGTGTAGACCTAATCACTACTGCTTCTGCTCTGCTAGCTTACTAAACTGAGGAACCGAATGCTTGGCAGTTCTCCTTGTGCAAGTGTTAGCTTAAATACTGTGCCACTGACTGATTCATCTATGTTGTCAAAATAATGTTTCTGATAGCTTTCATCTTTTACTTCCCAGTTGTGCTATTAAGCAAAATGGACTTCTGCCAGAGTATTGGAATGTTATGTTGCTATTTTGCAGTTTGAATTCTTCAGGGGTAATGGAAAACAAACTTTTAAAATAAGATTTTAAAAACCCTAGACTAATGTGTAAAATACAGCTTGTAACAGGCTTTTCAAATGTGGTAGCTACATAAGTAATCTGTATAGGGTAAAGAGCTTCAAGGGGAAAAATAAAATTTATGCAAAAGTTTCCTTCTGCAATGGTAGACCTATGTTCATTTTCATTTAAAATTATTTTTAGATTAGTTTTAGTGGTGGAACTCATAAGCACTGTTGACCCCCAAAGACAGTGTGGAGTAAGATTAAACCTGGAATGGGTAACTAGTGCAGTTTCTAGAGCATAGCAGTCCTTATGGGGTAGAACTTTTATAATGAAGGACTGCGTCTAATTAAACAATTCATTGTAGATTTTTTTCACCCTCTCAATTAAACAGCAGAGCTAGAGGGAGAACTGCTATTGGTTCTTGGGCTCTAGCGTTATAATGAAGAAGTTGACAGTTGCCCTCGAACGATGTCTGCCTATTGGCAGACAATAAGACAGCATTCTGCCTTCTGTAAATAGATTATTGTACTTGGTGAGGGAGGAGGAGGAGCTTGGAATGGCTACATTGAGCCAGCTTGGCTGGCTGCCATAAAGCTAAGTTCAGCTGGAAAGACCGCATCTTGGCTGATTCAGTATTTTACTGATGCATGTGTCAGGAAGCTTTTTCCTGGCTTGAAGCGTGGCATTTATTTAACTTGTAGTATAAGACACAAGGACAGAAACCTCAAGGCAGAGCTCTCTAATTGAACAAACTTCTAAAGCTAAACATCTCAGTCTGTAAGTAATGACAAAATTAATTGTTGATTGGGTAGCTAATAACAGATAAGTGTGATGTTAATCCTGTCAAACATGCAAGAGTTTACTGCCTAGATAAGGTTATTGAGGTTATTGGGTCTGACAATATGATCCAATACTCCTCAACACCCTTAGAAGTATATTGTGTAATTTCCTGTTGATATCAGAGTTATTTATTGAAATGATCTACTGTTTTTATATGGCTTTATGGTACACAGTTCTGAGAGCTTTTTTTCTCCTTTGGTAAAAACAGGATATAAAACCATAAATAAATAAAATTTCCCTAGACTTCATCTATAATTCTTTTCTTTTTGCTATAAAACAAATGTGTGTGTATAAAAAATACTGATGTTGACTATTCACTTAGGGCAGCACAAGGCTATCTCTAACTAGAAGTTGTAAATGGTCAACTTGGAGTTCAGTTAAACAGGTCCTCATTTTGCCTTTTACCTTGATTAATTTGCCAAATCCAACAGAATACTGCTGTTGCAAGCATTCTATGAAGAAATCCATTAAAGAATAGTCACGAAGGAATTTTCCCTCTCTCTTTCCCTCTCTCATAGTACTAGAACCCATGGTCATCTCATGAAGTTTACTAGTGGGAAATACAGGACAGAGAAAAGGACATAGTTCTTTACACAGTGCATAATTAAAACTATGGCATTTGCTGTCATAGGATGTGGTGAAAGCTGCCAATTTAGAAGGCTTTAAAGAGGACTTAGACAAATTAATGGAGGAAGAGATACCAATCTAGAAGAGAGGGAGCATACATAAATTCAGAGATAACAGACCTCTTGGAATGGATTTCAGGCATGTTGGAGTTGCCAAGTACAACTAGTAGGGTAACAGTTAACTCTGAATGGGTTTTTCAAGGATCTTTTAACTAGAATGTCAAAAAGCTGAGCAAATTTAACAAATTTGGAAACAACAGATAAGTCCATATGAGGGTGCATTCAGTTTCAGCTCTAAGGTCCATATGTTATTCTGACATGGGTTGTTATGCTGACATGGGTTGGGGATTGCACAAATGCAAAACAAAGCATGACTACAGTCACTACACAAAGGAAAGTAGAAAATGCAATTGTATATTGAAGTGTGAAGCAGTTTTTTTGTTGTGTCCTGAGTAGGGACAAATAAATTTATCATTGCTGGCTATTGTCAGTTCCTCATTTTTCCCATTTTAAAATCAGTTCATCCTAACCACTGATTTTTTAAAGATTTGTATAAAATCTTGTCCTTGAGCCCTAAAACGATGCTTCAGTCTGAAGTGCACCAAATTCATCAATCAATGATACTTATTTTTGTAATGGTAACAAAAATGATTATTGCCAAGCACTGGAATAATATATAGTCAATTATATATAAAGAATACTTTGCTAAAATTTGGCAAATAACAGAATTATTGTAAATTAGTGAGGTAGTTAGATTAAGAGAAGGTAGACGTAAGAATCCTAAAATTATTGAGAACAAACCATTTGATTATTGGAAAATAATTATGGTATAAAATTAATAAATGTTCTTTATTGGTATAAAGAAACTGTGAAAATTATTGGTATAAAGGCAAGTAGTGCTTTGTATTGTTATTTGGTTGCTATTTAGTTTAGCACAATCCTAACTTATAGGGGCACAATTGTATGGAGATGCCTGTAGCCCTCTGAATTTGGAGGATTATGGCATCCTGTGAAGAGTGTAGGGAGCAGAAAGACAAAGGTCTCCTTCCCACTCCACCCCTCTGATGTCCACTAACCCACTTCTGTGAAGTCACTTTTGCTGCCTTGAAGAAACAAGACATTTCTTCAACACAAGCTGTGCAGGGAGGAGGGTGCTACAACTGTAAGATCAAAGTTGAGACTCTGAAAATACCTGTGGTCCTTTAGATGCTGTTGAAGGGGCATTGATCACTCTGTGTCAGATATATATACAGAGTGGGCCAAAGGTAGGTACACAGGTCTGATAGGGTCATGTTTAGTTTCTGAGGCACTTGAAATGCCCTCCATCAACATTGCAACATTCCTGGAACCTGTTCCCAATATTGTGACACAAATTCCAGTTAGCAGCAATGTCAATAAATGCTTGCAAGATGAACTTGTTCATTTCATTCACTGTGTGAAGTCCTGCACAACCCAATCAGTATTGTATACCTATTGGCCCACCCTGTATGCGTAGTGTTTTTGTAGCTCTTTTTGACTGAGTAGCTAAGAGCCTTTGGATAAGGTGATGTGACTGATAGCAATATAAAATGTATATTGTTGCACTGTATATCATGAGTGTAACAAAACTTTTTAAAACGATAACTCATTAGCTGTGAACATTTCTCCTAATGTATACATATTTGCCTGGAATGCACATTTTTTTCAAGCAGGTTTCATGATACAATGCATTATTGAATGATATTTCTCCTAAAATACACACTTCATGTACATTTTTTGATCAGGGAACTTCATTGCAAATTACTGCAGTTTTCGAAGAATAACCGAGTTTCAGTTTGCATAGTGATTTGAAAGTGAGAAATTAGGTAAGTTTGTAATAAATAAGTACTGAATGAAATTTTTCCCATCCCTAGCCCACAGGTCTTCAGGCCCTATTGAAATTCCTGCCCTGCATGAGTTATTGTCATTTTGGATATCTTATATTGTAACCTGTCGTTATAGAGCTGTCTAGGATATTGCAGCCAGAAAAGGGTTTAACACAAGTAGAATCAGTCTTCCTGAGCTTAAGCTGCAGCAAAAGAATTCACTTCCTAATCATCTAAACTGAAACAGATGAGCACTGTCTTTTCCACTCTTGTATCTGGAGCATCTCCACCCCCTCACTACTGGGATAGTAAAACTGTTGACATCTCGAAAATCTTGTTCGACAACACCTAAAGCCTCTGCAAACTTCACATTGAAACCTTCTTTTTTCTCTTTGAAAAGCTTTTTTGTCAGCTGATAGAAATGAGCTGATGATAGGCATTCATGAATGTCACTGCGGTTGTGAGTCTGAGGCCAACATTGTTTGTTTCCATGTCTGCCAGCCTCTGTGCAGTGGTGTGACTTCAGACTGTGTTTCCATTGGCCCTCCTCCTCGCAAGGCTAAGTATGGACTGTGTCTGCTAGTTACCTTTGGCCTAGTGGGCAGAAACTATGAGGATACACATGTGACTTATGTCCTGAGAGACCTTGGCTGTAGGGAGAAGCATCAGCTGAGCAGACGCAGAAGGATTTTATACAAAACCTGACCAAACCTTTTCTTTTACCAGGCTTATGTCTCTCAGAAACTTAAAAGGACTAGTGGGAGAGTAACCTCATTCTGTTCCTTTCCACTTTGTTCTCTGGTGTTTAGAAATACACTTATTAGGTTTGATTGCATGGGAAGGGGATACCTATTCGAACTGATCTAAAAGCACTGGAATCTACATAAAACATAGCACTACATTGGAGCCTTTTATAAAATGTGGTCTTGTATTTTGTGGGAGAAAAGGAAAAGGAACTTCTGCTGATTCTCTGCGACTGAGACCACACTATCTAAAGGCACAAAAATATATAGAACATATTTTTCAAAGTCTGGCCCATATAAGGTGTGGCACCTGGCAGAAATCCCCAAAAAGGTAAATGAAAAACACATCTAAAATATTTCCTGTAATCTGTGGGAGGGAAAGAGTCAGTCTTTCTAGCTTGATACAGTGATATAAGATTGGAAGATGTGCATTTCCGTACTGGAAGAAAATGGGTTCTTTCATACCAAGTTTGGCACACAATTTTCCTCTTCTGTCCACAGATTGCAGTGTGAAGAACAAGGGTAGGAGATCACAATGCAAGCTCATGAATTGTTTAGGCATCTGCGAATGCCAGAACTCGATGATGTAAGGCAGTACGTGCGCACTCTCCCAACCAATACCCTGATGGGATTTGGTGCTTTTGCAGCACTCACAACTTACTGGTATGCCACAAGACCTAAAGCTCTGAAACCACCATGTGACTTAGCAATGCAGTCTGTGGAAGTAGAGGTAAGCAAGCATTGGGTCTTATTCCTGTTCTGTCTTCTCTATAGTTGCCCACTATAGCAGTCTCGAAAAAAGGCTAGGCTTCATGAAATGGACTGGGTTTTCTAAATTATTAAACTTTAACACAGTTAACTGGATTAAGATATTGCTTTGAAGCTGATTGTGGAGTGCCAAGATCATATCTTTCATGCCAAACAAATTCCTTCTATCCTTTCAACACACACATGCAGCTGTGCATTCAGACAATACTGCAGTGTATTATCTCATTTTTATCTAATTATAGTAGATTGTTTTGGCAAGATCTTGGGGTGTAAAAAGGGAAGGGACAGCAGTGGGGCTAGGGAAGCTAATCATGACAGAAAAGGTAATTGTTGGTGTAAATGGTAGTTTGAGGCATTCCTTGCTTTCTGACTGAAAGGGTTGTCTATAGACTCCATAACATTTTGTGTAACTATGTAGTTTAGAAACCTTTTTCTGTGAAGCTTAACTTGATTCAGATAATTGTTAAGGAGCTGGTAATTAGCCCTACCCTGCAAGTGTAGTAAGTCTGAATCCCTGCCTAGTCACACCAAACATTGTATTATCTCTCTCATTGCATTTCAGGACAACTCATGTACTATATGCATTATATATAACAGTTGCTGAGGAACACAGGGGAGGGAGGGTGTTAGGCTCCTGTGCGTCTTGTAGGTTTCCCTTGAGCAGCTGATTGGCCATTGTGGGAACAGAATGCTGGATTAGATCAACCCTTGGTCCAATTTAGCATGTGTCTGTTCCATACTGCTGAGCAGAATCAATCTGCTCTCCTGCTCGCCATCTAAGGCAGAGCCATTGACTGTAATACTGTGAGCTTTAAAGTTCAGTGAATCAAACAGGAACAGTAGGATGGGACTGTACATACCCATTAATTGTAAGATGCATCCAGTCATTTAATTGGCTCTAGATCAGTGTTCCATTTCTTCACCAGCTGCTTCTACACATACATCACTTTTGCTGGATCAGGGATAACTACACAAATGTGTGCCTGAAATTCATGTTATATATCTTGGAAGTAATGACGACTTGCTTACCTGTGGCATAGGTTTAAATACATCTTTAAATTAGGTATAGACTTAAGTACTTTTTTAAAAAAATACTTGTGTTCTTTGTATACATGGACAAAGCTGTCTTACAAAACTAAAATTCCCCATTGTATGATGCGTCATTGCCCAGTGCTGTAACTGAGATGTTACTAGACCGTGGGTCAGACCTTGGCAGCATGGTACCCTTCTGCCTCAGCGTGCCTGTGGGTGCCTTGTTTGGTGTCTACCAAGATGCCCTATCCCTGCCACATTAACACATTTTCCTCCTAGCAGCTGGGATGACATCCAAGCAAACTGAGAGTCTCCCAGCTTAATTTCCCATGAATGCCTCTGGGCTACGTGGTGACACTCGGGTACATTCTTGGCGAATGAAGATGATAGTCAGCTGCAGACTGTTGTTTTGCTCTGCAATGTTTGCAACCCCCAGGCAAAAGAAGAATGTGCTGATAATTGTGGATCCAAAGGAGCTGTTTAGGGTGTTGTGTCTCATTCACCTGTTCACCTCCACCTTGTAAAGGATTGGTTGAGCAGAGTTGTCCTTTGTGGCTAGCCATGCCACAAGATAGTCATTTTGTGGTAGTGCCTGTGGCAGTTTCTAAATTGCCAAATGTGTCCACGAGCCCAAAAGGTTGCTTACTACTGCCTATTCAAATATACTGTGTATTATTTTATTTATTTATTTAGGGAACTTCTATGCCGCCCCATTCGCCGAAGCCTCGGGGCGGCTCACAAAGTACCGGTATCATGCAAAGTACCATGCATCTGAAAAGCATACTTGCTTTAATGTAATGCTTTTGCTACAATATTTTGTTGTTCGCTCCATTAATAGTACATCTGCCTAGCTCACGTTTTTGTTTGAAGAGGCATCTTATTTGAAACCTGATCTTCTTGCCCAAATAAGCAAAATATTGGTAGTAATATTGTTAAGGCCCATAAGATTAAATTTGTAGGTGGATAAATAAATCAGGCGTTGAAGTGAGAGTTATCTTGCTATCCCTAGAGCTAATAAACAGCTAATTTAGAGAAAATGGGATGTTTCAGAGCAAGAGCTGGTACCCTGGCCCTGATCTGAGATTGGGGGAAATGCAGTGTGAAGTTCTAAATTTGATAAGTCAACAAGTATTTGTTTACAGACTTGTGCATTATACGTTCCCATATTCATATAAAAGTTACTTCCTTATGCAATGGTGAGAAACTCTACTAACCAAAAAGAAAAGGATTTTTTTCTCTGCTCTCATGGAGCCTCTTTTGGAAGCTTCCTGGTATTTTCAAATGACTGAACTTGCTTAGGGTTGGGTTATCTGTGCAGAGGACAAAACAGAAAATGATTAACTTCACATTTGTCTGAAGGGGCCCACAAAGTTTGACTGGCTTTAGCCAAACTTGCACTTGCCATGACCCTATGTTAGAGGGCCTGAACTTCAGAGACAAGTATAGAGATAGGTGTTTTATAGTTGAGCTTATCTCTTTAAACATCTGTTAATGGCACAGTAGCCTAGTCTCCATTTCAGAGAGCCTTCCTATCACTTTTTCTGTCTCTTTGAGATCCATATTTATTTATTATTTGATTTATAAAATTGCAACAACAGTGCCAAACGAGACTGACTGGCTCCATTGTCTCCATAGGACAGCATTCTCTCCCATTTCCTTAGTGAGTCTTGTCTACCAGAAACTAAAATTAAATATTTCACTTCATACACTTGTTTCTGCCTACATGTGTTAATAGCTCATTTCCACAGACTCTTTCTTGTTTATGTGCTGAACTTCCATGCCCTCAAGGGTACCAGAAGCTCATCAGGAAGACAAAGGAGACATCCATGAACTGGCTAGAGAGTTTTGGCTATTGGGGTTGTATAGAAATTAAATAAATGAATGGACTTGTTTCTTTTTCTGTTACCAAAACCTGCAGCTATTAAAGTACTCTTCTGTCAAGTCTAGATCAGTTTTCTCATACCTGATGTCCTCCAGATAGTTTAAACTTCAGTTCCCATTAACCCTAGCTAACATAGACAATGGTCAGGATTTATTTTTGACTGACTTTTAAGTGTTAAAACCCCTTTCAGGAATGTTGGGAATTCCTGGATTCCCAGAAAACTCCTAGAGGGCTCCATGTTGGAGAAGGCTGGTTTACAGTGAACCAAGTGAACTGCTACAAAAAAATTGTAGCAGTAAGGAAGGCAGAAGCTCCGGTGTTGGCTGCTTCCTGGGGCACATTCTTAGTATCAAGGTTCTCTGCAGTTTAAAGTTTGAACATGCCAAGTGTTGGGGAAGAGTAAGGGCTGTCTTTTATATGCTGATGTAGTCTCCAGAGTATAGTGGAAGCTTCCTTCCTCTTGAGCTGGGGAGTGAGTTCTGTTTCTCTCTTCTTATGCACTATTTGATATCGACTGTATAAGCTGCAAGTACCCATCATCCTTTCCCCCCTCACAATCAGGCTGGAAAGGACAGGGATGTGTTTACTGGATATAATTCTGAGTAAAAAGTACACAGGCTGCCAGATCAAAGGTGTTGGTTTATGGACATAGATTGTATACAGGCTACAGCTGCAAACTAGTACTTGCTTTCTACCTAGTTTATATGCATAATTGTCATGAATGTTCAGGACATATATGAATTAGAACATAGGAAATCAAATTCTCTCTACAGGGTGAGAATCCACTCCTTCTGAAAATTCTTCTGTTATGCACTTACTGTGCTTATGAAAATACTGTCCCCTGGTCAGCCTCTTCAGCGCGAAGGGGGGAAAAAGGAAGTTTTTATTCCTGTAAAACCTAGTTTGTATTTCCCCAGACACTGTGTTCAGGATTACTAGCATCCAAGATCAACCTTCTTTCCTTCCTTTATTACCCTGGCTTTACAACTGAGTCACTGTAGCAGTCACTATGGCATTCTTTCAAAACAGCTACTGCTTGATGACATTCTTTCCATAACTTAAGAACTGTTGCGAAACATCTGGTTGTCAGTAGGTTTGTGAAATGGGTGACTGGCAATCTGTGCTGCTGACTGGGTTGGTGTGTTCTTGATGAATTAAGCAAAACTGTGTCCAGCCAGCAGCCCAGTGACTTTCTTCTAACATAGGCTTGCATCCAAAGTCTTTTCTCTCCAGAAATGTGCCTGCAACAGAGGGGCTTACATGAGAATTGCTGGCACTACCACTACCCTGCTGCCATCTCTTTCAGTGAAGCCCCAGACTAATAGCTGTGCAATTGCTGGCACTATGCCTCTCTCTCTCTCTCTCTCTCTACCAATTGCCAGTAAAGAATGTTTCCTTCCTCTCTTCAATTGCCAGTAATATTCATGCTGTTACATAACCTGCAAAATTCCACTAGCAAAATGAAGGCTGGTATACTATCCAAGAGCATGAGCTGGGAATTTCCCAGTTCAAATCTGTTATTTGCTGTGAATTAGCTAAGGAGTCTTGGGCAAGTGCTCCTCATTCCCAATTTTCCTTAGGAGCAACATTGTTGACCTGCATCTTGCAGGATCTATATGAAACATATTACACACTGAAAAATGTGAATCCCAAGTATTAACTTGTTAGTTTATTCATTAGCTGTGACATTTGTGCTAAGTCAGTGCCTCTAAGATAGCCCATCCATAGCTAGCTTTCAGTCTACTTGTAAGGATCGAAGTTTCTGACTAAAGAGCAGCGGAAATAAAATGAACTTTAATTACCGAACTGATCATATCATGAAGATAAGATATGCAGACTTAAGATATTGACTTGAAGATAAGATAAGCATCTCTATATGCCACATTTAATTACAGTTGCATAAGAAATGCAGCATAAAGTGTGAGTGTCCCACACTTCTGTGGTAAACATAGACCTGTTTTAAGGAGCCACAACCACTTTTGATGCTCTAAAAATATATACGTTCTTTGCCAAATGCAAGTTTGCTGCTGTTGCTGTAATATTTGACATTGCCCTTAATAAAAGGATAAAGGAGAATATAGCAAAGGAGAGTTGATAAAATCCTCCTTCATTGTGCACTATGCCTTGTTTAACTTTGTGTGTGAGACACAGAAATTTATTACCTGAATAATAGTACTTGTTACTTAAAACTCGGGACTTAAACTGTAGAGTAGTGAGGGATACCAGTATAACATTTCCATTTATTGTATTCTGTAGTGGAGGGTATGCTTTACATTCTGCAATTGTCACCCTTTTCAATTTAGGTTTTTGTAGTCCTTACAGTTCATTCATTGTTATATGGAGAGTGTTGACTGACTGATTCTTTCAATTAAGCCTGAAAGTAAACAGCACTAAGTAATATTTATATCAATACTTAAATATAAAACTGTGTACAGTGACTATTTTGAAAGCAGTTGGACTAGCCTTAACCGAAAAAGGCCTTTCTGGAGTGAACAGTTTATAAAGACACCCAGAAGTTACTTCTAGATAATTTCCTTCTGAACAATAGTAGCACATAGCTCTTCTCTAGTATAGGTACTAATGTTCAAGAACATCTAAGAACAAGTCCTAAGACAGTTTCCCTCACTTACTCTAAAAAAAACTTAAGCACTGCTGCCAGGGCAGCAAAACAAGTCATAACAATGATGAGGAGAGATTCCACACCTCTGTACAATGGTTAGTGTATTTGGTTACAGGTCTTAAACTGGAAGATTGCAGTTATGTCCCCCCACCCCAAACACACAGCTTTGGGATTACCCTAGCAACCACAATCATGGTCAAAGAACCATTGGAAGCAGTGATCTGGCGGTACATTGGTGGTAAGTGCAGGAGCCACTGTGCCAGCACTGGGGTCTTGGAAGAGCAAACTGAACTGCTTGGTGGGCTGCATGTGGATTGCAAGTTCTGCAACCCTATTCTAGATTAAGTTGCCGTACATCATTGCTTTAGCCATGGCAGTTTCCAAAAATGGTAACTTGGAACCAAGCAGTAACACACAGTCATTGCAACATGAATCTAACTTTGTTCTATACCAACTGCTTTTAATGGCAATGAGAAATTAGTAATTTGCATTGACAAATTAATTGCATAGCATACAGAAAGTAATATACATTATAAGTACAATTTTTCCCTTATTCAAACAAGTTAGCAGGAACTGAACTACCAATTCTGCAGCTGGCATATGCATATATCCAAAGTTCTCTGCAACTGGATGAAGGTATTGGCAAATATGTTTTTGATCTGCATGCATTTTAGCTGGGATTTAACAGGGACTGTCCATATTCTTTAGCACTGGACTAGAAATAAAATGAGGCAGAAGAGGACTTTCAGAACACAATCCTTTGCATGTAAACAGAAATGACTTGTTTCTGTCTAAACATGCACAGGATTTCATCCTTAAATAGGAACTGATATCCAGCTTTTAACTGAAGTTTTATTTCTTTGTCCAGTTTTTATCCATAGGTGTATTTCTTTGATTGACATGCATCAAAATGTGATAAGCTGTTGCAGTATTCTAGTTATTGTGTATTGCTGTCTGCTTTCATAAAGAGTGGCACAGAAAGCTTTGGGGAAATGTTTTAACTTACACTTTTCATTATGCAGGGTGACGAGTATGCCCGAAGGTCATCGCTACTTGATACTGATGAGCCACTGACATTCTATTATGACGATGTGAGAACAGTTTATGATATCTTCCAGAGGGGACTACATGTATCAAGTGAGTACTGATAATTTGGGAAAGAATTGTGAGGCAGAGCCTGCCACCTGAAAGAAATGATAGTTTATGGCTTTCATGAAGTAGTACCACATGGTATGTGGGATGTAAAAACCTGTGTATAGTGGAAAATCAAAGTGAGTGGTCTCCCAGGCACTAATTCGGGCTCTTCCAGACTCTTCCAGTATCAAGGAGTTTGCAGTATCAACTCTTTTGAGGAATGGAAACTTGCACATGTACTTTCAGTTTTGGAGTTAGTATCTAAAAGTCTATACCTGTAACCTGTGTTGGAAATAAACTGAATCTCTCCTTGGGAACAGAGCAGGGGCGTAGGCTTGCTAAAATTATTTAACCTTTTAATTTTCTATATCTTCATAGATAATGGCCCCTGTTTGGGCATAAGGAAACCAAATCAGCCATATGAATGGATCTCTTACAAGGAGGTAAATAGACACAGTTCTGTGTGTGGTGACATGATGAGAGGGGTGTGTGATGTAAGGATGCTTACATTGATTTTTAACTGCACAATTCTGTATATGCTTAGCTAGGAGCAAATCGCATTGAGTTCAGTTAGGCTCATTTTCTGGTAAATAGGTATAGAATTGTCACCAAAGTTTCTTTTGCTACAAAAACAGTTGGATTATAGAATTTTGATAAGTGCAGTTGCAGGATATATAGTTTAAAGTGAGGTATTTGGATTTCAATTTGCTGTTTAGTATCTACAATAGTCAGGCTTCTGTGCTGTACACAAATCTAAGAGTCCAAATTCTGGTAAGCAACTTCAGGATGTCTTGTACAAAGGATGCTGACTTGGATCCTAAGATAAGGTCCTTTTTGTTTCCTTTCCCCTTGTTTCCCTACCAAGACCTCTGAAAAGCCTTTCTGGAGGGCAAGGTGGGCTAAGGAGAGAAATTTTCAGAGGATGCAGGTGCCTGCAAGTAGGGATGGGATTTTTTTCTTCAAATTGAGCATGAAATGAATGAGTTAACTTTTGTAGAAATAGTCTAAATGCAGAACCTTTTGCACAAGTTATATCTAATACAAATGAATTGTCAGAGTTGGAGATCCTTTAACTCTGGCAAGGATCCAAATGGTGGTTATGCCGTATTGTATGTGTGACCACTGCTGATGCAGCTTAATTCTTCTCCCTTAATTCTCACAAGTAAAGTTGTGCTTGGAGTTGGGGTGGAAAACCTCAGGAATAGAAGCCAAACCTTAATCTTCTAGAGTCTCAGGGGTTTCTCATACCACTTATGTCCCTTTCCCCAGTGACCAGACATCTGTGGCTTCCCTGATTTTAGACAGGATCCCATTCCCGGCCCAATTAGAAAAGATTGAAAAGCCTCCCCATAGACTTTAGTTACTGGCAGAAAAAGTAGTAACTGCAATATGGTAATTTTGGTCCTGCCTTATTTGACAGTGGCTCCCAATGTGGAATGGAAGTTGTTCCTCCCACTCAAAATCAATCCATTAACAGAAGCTTTGCAGCACAGATTGCAACTACAAATCTACTTGCTTTCAAGCAAATCTTGTGAAAAATCTGTGTGTAGCTTTGTGAATTTGACTTTTTTATATGCAGAGGCTATAAAAGGCTAATTCTTTCTGGCTACAAAATGTATCTCTTCATATCTACCATGGTAGAAATAAGTCTACCATGCGTGTTTTGAATTTAAAAATCCTGTTTTATTCTCTTGATCTCATAAGGCTTTAGAAAAACTATCAGATTAATAAGACATAGAATGTGTCCATGAGGTAAAATTTCAGCACTGATTTAAGTTCAGTTGTGTGTGCATCATCTTTCTTGAATAGACATTAGGCCTTTAAAATGGGATCAAGTTCTGCTCAAATGAAACAGCCTACTGTGTTTTTTAAATATTGTCTATCACCTTATCTGTGTTAAGGTACAATCCTATTCATATTTAGATTGTGTAAAAGACCTGCAATGCCTAGCAAGCCCCAGCCAGCAGTATGCTGAAAGTTGTAGGCCCTTTTTTCTGTCTAAACATACATAGAATGGGATATATAATGCATTAAGTGACTGGTAGTTCTTGAAGAGGATGAATGAGATAAAACTAAGTTTAAAGCCTAAGTGGATAAAAATAGCATAGCCTTGGTAAGTGAATGTTAATAGATATCACCATTTTCTCTCCAGACTGCGGAAAAAGCAGAATGCGTTGGTTCAGCACTTCTCAACAGAGGTTTCAAACCATCTCCTGATCAGTACATAGGAATCTTTTCGCAGAACAGGCCTGAGGTAAGAAAGGATCCTTAAACTAAGTAATCTTATTCAGCTTTGCACTGCAATAACATGTTCCCTTGGTGCAACTTCATGGATGGGCTTGGGGTATCAAAGGTCTACCCTAGTTGTTCAAACCCTGCCCTCCTGGTTGGTTTGGTTAGTGACACCTGAAGGGCCCTTGTATTCCCATGAAGTACATGGCTTAGCTTACATGCTCAAATGGCCCAGAGTTGTTGTTCCTTCTTGTCCTGATTGTATCTGCTACTTAACACTGACCATCTAGCTAGAGATTGTACTAGATGGCTGTCTTACTTAAAACTTACCAGCAAAGGCATGGTGGCTGCTTGAATCTAAGTATCAGGTTTACTGGTGTTTTAATTAACTCTCTTCTGTGTGCTGTGGGATTAACTTTGTACCAAAATGGGAGATGTGTCATGAGCTGATTTGGGGTTTAGCCAAAGTGCTCTTGAGTCAAGTATCTGATGCTGGCGTTTCCTTTCTTTCCTAAGGCATTTTGCCTCTTCTTAGATTGCACTGCACAAACATTAAGTTCTAACATTTGTGCAGGCTTTTAGGTATTCCATCATTATCAAATCACCATTTTCATAAATTGTTTGCCTTCCATGATAGAAGATGAGGCTCTTTTTATCTTTGAAATCTATAATCAGACTGTCACATAAATATTACATTTTATTACATTGATAAACCCACCTTCTCTGCTCTTGTAAGGAACCTGAGAAGGTAACACGGTTCTTCTACTCTCTAATTTGTCATCACAACAGCCCTGTGAGGTGGGTTAAGCTGTGAGTCACTGACTGTCCCAAAGTCACTGAGTAAGCTTTATGGCTAAGTGGAGGCTAGAACCTAGATATTACAAGTCCCAGTGCAGCACTCTAACTTAGCAGTTTCAAGCTTATAGAGTGAAGATATTTAGATGGGGGTGAGAACCAGCCCAGCATAGACAAGCATTCTGAAACATTTCAGAATGGGGTGGGGAGAATTGGGGCAGAGTTCTTTGACTAAGAGATCACAGGCGAAGCAAGCAGATGAATTAAGAAGTGTCTGATGTTCCTGTTGTCTAGCCCTCAAGCAGCTAGAGACACCCTGAGGATGGAGTCAGTATATTTCTGAAAGAGAAAGAAGGAGGGGATGTTTCATTTAGATTCAGCTCTTCACATGGGAAGATGCTTCTCCTATATGTCAAGGAGAAGATTACTCTGATGTATGCTGTTTTGTAACATGCTAAGTTCTAATAAAGGCTATGCTTGGTCTTGTCTGAATCTGCTAGAGAAGAAAAGAGAAAGGGAAAGACTTGCTCACAGTATGTTCTCCCCAGAATATACCTGTCCACTTGCACAATACTTAATTATTAGCCCTAGGCTTCTTCTGCTTGTTATTAGCTGAACTTCAACAAATTTTTGTATACTGCTGGAAAACCACTTTTTTCCCATAAGTGAAAACTTGATCTGTGAAAAATGAAAAAAGATTATCCTTTAAGACATAATAACAAACCACAAACAACAAAGGTTGCAGCTAAGATTACAGAATATTTCCTCCAGCAGAAATACTAGTATATGAAATTTGACCTCTAGCAATACATGCCCTGCACACCTAGGCAAGCTAGTGGCCTCTCCACAGCTCCCCTTTCTGTGCAGGAGCTGATCTATGTCTATGTGAGCATTTATTTGCCACAGTCCCCTCTTCCTATTTCTCTTCACTGTTTTCTGCAATGATAGTGCTATCTAGTTTTCTTTTCCCCTTCTTGTCCTCAGAGCACATAGAATAATCTGTTGCAGTTAGGATTTGATTGCATGATGTTCTGATGGTAAGAAATCCAAATGCCGCTGAAGTGTGCATGCATTCAGAAGAGTTGTGTGACATGTACTGACAGAGGCCTTCTGCTCCTGGGACAAGATAAACAATATATTTCAAGACTGGATTGTGACCTTCCACTTGAATGACAGTGACACAAGCTGCCAGGAGCACAACGTTTGACTGTTGTACTTCAGCTGCCGCTCTAATTGCTTCCATGCCCATGTTCAGAACCTAGATTTTATTGTGCCTAGATTGCCATGTACCTTGCCTCAGATCATGGTACTGGTAGTAACTCTGGTCTCAAACTAATATTATGGGGTAAACTTATATAGCTTGGTTGTGGCATAATAGATGAGCCAATCGGACTTCATTCTTATATATTCAGTGCACACTCTTTTATATAGTGCAGAAGACTTGTCACTCCTGAGAGTAAAGTGGCAAAGCCACATTTATTTGCAGTCTGTACTTCTGAGGTATTAAAAAAGTGTGTTAAGCAGTTTTCTTCCAGATGAAGTACCATTTGTTTTCTGCAGACAAACCTTAATGAATAATTAGGTGTCTAGGAAACCTGATTAGGACCATGTTTCTTGGACATGCAAACATTGTTTTTCAAAGTAGTGTAGGTTCCTGTGATATCTACAAGCTACAGATGTGCGGGAAGGAGCGATGTTTTGATTGATAGCAATAGCTTGCTTTGTAACAATGACACTTCCAAACCTGAGTCAGTGTTTTAATACTAATGTAAAAATGCCGAAACTAGACAAACTGGCAGTAGTGCCATACTTGCAAGTAAGCACTATATTAATTTTGCTTCCCTTGCAGTGGGTTATCATTGAACAAGGATGCTACACTTATTCTATGGTGACTGTACCACTCTATGACACTCTTGGAACAGAAGCTATCACTTATATTGTAAATAAAGGTATTTCATGCATTCCTTAACAACTAAATGCATTCATTGCAATATTATTATTATTACTGAAAATCCTCTAATAGGACCTAACATCACTGAATACAACTAACTTGGCAATTGTAAATTATTTGTAGAATTCTGTTTAAAGCTACTGTAGCAACAGAAGATCAAGGACAAGAATTGTAATTTCTAGCACCTTACCTTGGGTGGACACTAGGACACTAGGACTCCCTATACTAGGAAATGAGTCCAGAGATTCTGGTATTCTCTCAGTTAGAATGGCTTGGGAGAAGCAGCAATTTCTCCATGTAGACACCTACAAAAAAGCTCGGTAGCAATGTAACTTAAGCCAAATGCACAACATGAAGTTTCTCTAAGCTATGGTTTCATAATCCTTCCTGCAGAAATAGATCAGACTTCATGAAAAGACAAGCTGATTCTAATTACTCAAAAGTTTTAATTACTCACATTTTTGCATTCTTTATTTCCAATTTAGGTGAGCTGGCACTGGTTTTTTGTGATAAGCCTGAAAAAGCTAAACTTCTGCTGGATAGCATTGAGAAGGGAGAAATGCCAGTCCTCAAAACAATTGTGATCATGGATCCCTTTGACAATGAGCTTGTGACCCGTGGAAAGAAATGTGGAGTGGATATCATCAGTATGAAAGAAATTGAGGTAAGCAGGTTAGGTTAGATCTGCCTCCAGTTTTAATGAAACAGCCAATCGCCTTACTGAATGCAAGAAAGAAATAACGTTCAGCCAGTTACAAAATGCTGATCTTTGACCAATGGAGTACAGAATAGAGCTTGGACTTTACACAATAAAGACTGGAACTTCTGGCCAGTTTACACATTGCGGCCAATATTTCACAACACCCTAATGATTCTAAAGATGCACAACCGAATATGGCTAGTCCAAAGGTTGTTATATCAATTCTGAAAGATTTGCACATAGTAATTGTTAAAATAAATCGGTGTAGTTCTAATTCATAAAATATTATTGTAACAAAGACCAGATACATAAATTCATACTTTATAATGTTTCAAATATAATGTTTTAGACTTTCAAACTGATTCCTAATCTGCATAGCACAGCATGAAATGATATCCCATTTTTGGGAGCCTAACTCATGTAGTGCTGATGCCAAAATGGTTGTAGTTGGATTTGAGGAATTTTATGGGCAAACATCATTTTCCGTCCACCATTTCTTCCATATTTTTTTCTTACCAAAAATGATCTGTTAAGGAAGAAAAGACAGGCTAACTTTCAAATGCTTTCTATTGGCAGTGTTGGGGTAAAATCCAGCATGAGCCTTATCAAAACTAAACATACTGAAATTAATCCATTTCATCTGGCTTACTCTGCATATGAGTCCAACTCCTCCCCTTTCAATCTGGAAGCAACTTTATTTCATGGTCCTATCGTATTTCATTTCTATACCACTCAGGAAACACAGTTCTCTGGGCACTTCACCAAGTCCCAGAGCAGGTCACCCTTAGATTACTGATTATCAAATAGCTTGCCTAATTCTCTTTTGGGTGACACACATTTCATTGGAAGAACAGCAGGCTTGAGACTTGGATTTTGCTTTCTGAATTTCTCTTCCCTTTCGTGTTAATTCAGCATGACTGTTGCCACAGACAGAAGTAGAGGCAGCTATGGGGTTTTTCCTTATCAATTTGTTTATCAAAAAGTATAGTTGTAATAGGATAGAGCCAAAGGAAGTTGTGACTGTTAGAGAAGTAACAGCACTGGAAAGATTCTTGAGAAAAGGCTTGTTTTGTAAAGGCTTGTTAGGAAACCTTTTAGCCTATAATTATTGCCTCCCAATAATCAGGTTGATTTACTTTTTATTAATTTCCAAGGTAGAGCTTGTCCCTGAAGTTTTGTTTCTGCAGCCCAAGCTATATTTCCTTTTTTCCATCTTTATGCCTTCAGAAAGGGGTGTTACATTAAAGGAGCACCAATGGTGAGGTGCAAACAAACTTTAATCATTTCTCTGTTTACTGAACCAGGGAATCATAGGACAAGCATCTCCAAGACTAAGGTCAAAATCCGTAGACTATTTTTGTTGAGTATAGATCATAATTCTCATCTAGCTTCAAAAATTTGGTATATTTTGCTAATGAGTTTCATAAATGCTTTTTTTTTCTTTTAAAAATCTGTTTAAGCTGTTGTAAGCAATACAGCCAAACTGAATGAATAGGAGACTTTCTGTTCCAGATAGCATTAGTTTTGATTGGAAATGAGTTAATGAAAAGAAATATTTAGTACAGCTCATAATGATCAGGAAATCACAAAGAAAAAACTTCAGCTTCCTGTCCAACCTGCTCTCTCTCTTTTCTTTAAAGGCATTGGGAAGAGCCCACAAACATAAACCTGTAGTAAGTATCATGTAGTTTTGACTATATAAGACCTCTAGCTTAATATCCTTAATCTTACAAACTGTATGTGATCCATTTAAAAGCTATAATACTAGTAACGGATTTCTCATCCTTAGTGTCCAAAACCAGAAGACCTAGCCATAATCTGTTTCACCAGTGGAACTACAGGTATGCTTGTGTTAGAACTAAATCTTGTAGGATAGGAACAAAATCTTGCTTGTGGGGGTGGTGGTGGGTGGGTGGTGGTGTCATTTGAAAATGACATACTAGAAAACATTTAAAGTGGCAGTGAATATACTTCTGTTAACCCACCCTAAATTAAACTGCAGATACTGCTGTGTTTGACTTTTAAATGTGTACTTGAATTTTGAGATACCAAGATTGCAGTTGAATATAGAAAAGATGTGCTAGTACTATTAAGCAAATCCTTTACTAAACTGTTAAGAGTCCAACTTCATAAAGAACTTTGAGAAAGGAAAAAAATGTTATTGTTCAGGGAATTTTTCCAGCCTTCACATTCTGTCTTCTGGATGTCCCATCTTAACCTGTTGATGAAAATAAGAGACTATCTATGTACAAGAATTCTGCGGAACCCACCAAGAAAGTGGATATCTATAGGTCTTTTCTGTCACATAGTTTTAACACCTTTTTCTCTCCAGGAAACCCCAAAGGAGCAATGCTTACTCACCAGAATATAGTGAGCAATATGTCAGCATTTGTGAAAGCTACAGAGGTAATGTTTGCTGATTTAAAAGCTTTAAATCTTTGGCGCATTGCTTAGTTCAAATGAAAGCACTCAAACATTTCATAATGTAATGCTCTCGGAATTCAGAAACCTGGTGTAACCTGTCTGACAGATCCAGACAAATGCTATTTGTATTTCTACTTTTTCAAAAGAGAATACTAAAATATTATGCGCACCAATATCTACGTCAATTGTATGAAATCTGCAATCTTCAATTTTAATAACACTGCCAGCAGTTTAAAATTTTAAGTGATTTTTCTCTCACCATTAAATCAGAGTAGGCCAGATTAATATATCATAGATTAATTTCCCTTCTGTTATGGTTCATAACAACGCCCTGGCCTGGAGTGTCTCTTAAATTTAATTGCAGGGTGAACCAAATCACATGAACTAGGTGTGTCTGCTAAATTTCTTAAGCATAGTATTTCCATAGGACGGAATGTTCTAGACTTTAAAAGAACATTGCAAGGATTATTACAATAATATAAGCAGGCTGGTTTGAGCAATGGGAAGTGAAGAAGTCCTCTGAGCAGCTTACCTAAGGCTACGCAGAATGCAGGACAAATATGAAATTTGGACAGACACTACCTGACTCACAGCCTATGTATTAACTTATATTCCACCAGTTTCTTCCTAGGATTGTAATTATTCTAGCACTTGGTTTACTACCACATGTTAATTCTAAAATATATTCTCTGTTGCCTCTCTACTTGGAAACTGCTCTCCTTGAGCAGATGAGTTCTAAGATTCTGAATGATTTGGCAGTAGAAAGCTAGTTTTAAAAACTCTTAAAGCACATTATGGGCATTGCAGAAGCATCTCTGGATTTCATAATTAGAAAATATCCTAATGGGTCAATCTGCCCTGCACTGACTGAGGCCTAGGAATGACTTTGTGTCTGTTTCACTGGCTTATTTCTAATGCTCCTATTAACTTTTGGGGTGGTAAGAAGTTTTACCAGTGCAATTGTGCAACTCTAAAGCCAGGTCTATCCAGTTATTCCTAGTAACCCAAGTGTAGACCTGAGAATGTTGATCAGCTATAAAAGGCTGAATATTTAAAAGATGGGGTTCTAAAGATCCTAGCTGAAGGCCCACATGAGGGATTCAGCAATATCTGCTTTGTACTCTAAGAGCAGTGTGACATTCAATCTAACAACAAAAGAGGGTTGGGATCTAAGCAACTGTTGCTTTATTTCTAAAATATGAGAAGTGCAGAAGTTCCATAGAACAGCACTTTGCCTTTGCTGTTGAACTTAATAGTATTCCTATGCATTGGTACCTACTACTTGGGGAAATATCAAAGGCTACTGGAATGTTGTGCAATTGCAGAAGAAAAGTAATTGTGGAAGTCCATAAATTACTGCTGTTATATAACACACAAGTTTCCATGATCACTGTTAATGATTCCTTTTAATGACCCATATTCAACTATGTGTAATCTGCCCATACCACAAACATGTAAGTAATGTATCCAGTGTTTTGGAGTATAGTGGTTGATGAAATCTACTACCTAGTCCAAAGGAGCAAATTATTGCCTTCTCACAAAGCCCAGCAGCATCAGCTCAGCTTTAAGAGTTGGTACAGGTTGGCTATCTAAAGCTCTTGTTCACATAACTTTTCCATGGGTTAGAAACTGGTATGCAGGCTATCCTGATGCATCTTTCATTCTTTTGGTGGTCATGTGAGCTGATTCTGGTGGTGAGTTTTTTGGCATAAAAATGACAACTTTAACTGCATGTGGAATAAAGTGGAGAATACTTCGGTGACAAGTAGCATCACAGCTTCGACAACTGAAAAAATTAATGAAGACACCCTTCATTAATATTTCACTCTTTGAAATATAAATATTTTTCAAATATTTCTAAAAATCATGGTTTAATTGTACTAAAGATTTTCCATGGTTTTTTTTTATTTATTTAGGGTTGCCTTAGCACTGAAAGCTATAACTACTGGTTCCTGCACTATACCAATCATAACTACTTGAAACTTAAAATTTGCCTAACAACTGTTTCTGTTTCTTTTCCTTTCTTTTGCTGGTGCTTCTGCTGACAGAAAGCAGTTTTTCCTAGTACAGAAGATACTTTAATCTCCTTCTTGCCCCTGGCCCATATGTTTGAAAGAATTGTAGAGGTAGGCCTTTGCATTTTTATGTAACTATTAAATAGTCTCCTCTTTTGCAGACTGGCTATGTAGTGAATACCATGGACACGCACATTTCCTATTTGCCTCTTGCACATATGTTTGAACGAATAGTTCAGGTAAGTCTCTTTGCATCACAGGAGGGTCAGTAATACCTGTAAGGCTACCTGCAGCAAGTAAGTAAACCTCCATAGACTGTTGGCCTAAGGAAAAGCTTAATCTAGCAATAGCCCAGCAGTATCTGGAAACCGAAGTTGGGAAAGGCTGATTTACATTCTGAAATTAGGGATAAACCCATTTTCCTCCACTGTCTAATCTGCATATGTGTGGTTAGAGTGCTGGACTGGGGCTTGGGATATCTGGGTTCGAGTTCCCACTTGGGCATGAAGCTCACTGGATGACTTTGCGCCAGTCACTGATACCCAGATTAACCTACCTCACAAGGATGTTTTGAGGATAAAATCGAGAGGAGGAGGAAGATCATGCAAGTTGCCTTGTGTTCCTTGCAGGAAAAAAGAAGGGATATAACTATAATAAATATAATGAAGATTTCTAGCAAACATTCTTTATTATTAATTTATGCGGAAGTAACATAGTACAGTGCTAATCACTAAAACATGCAACTTCATGCTCTATTTAAAATGTTTTAAATTTAAAGCCTTTTTAGTTCAGGAAATGAAAGGATATTTTCTACAAAGTTAAGTCACTTTTAACAAATTAGATGAACTCCATTAAAAATAATCATATTAATCTGGAACAGTTACTTTCTGGCTTTTATCTGAAATTAGTTCATCTCTTATTATGTTTACAGTATACATTCCAAAGTGACGAAGTTCATGGCTGCATAGGGTTAGACCCTTATGGTAAAGTTTTACAGTGTCATAGCATTCTTTGTCAGAGTTTCTTACAGTTGATTGTGCTGATCCCAACAGCGCTGTATTAAGCCATGCAAATAAGCTCTGAGGGATATAGGAGTGGCATGTTCTAACAATCCACTCTGTGAATAAACTATGCAGGAGGTGATGATCATGGAGCAATCCATGGTGCACCCAACAAATGACCAGGCTTACTGTGGGTTGTCCCCTCCCTTTCATTTGGGCCTTCAGCTGGTATCCCAGCTAAAGTTGCCTTATCTTCTCCACCCATCATGATTGCAAGTCCTTTTTTGATTCTCATGGCTTTTTCCCTTCCCCTCACCTTTTTTCCTAGAGATTACATTTTTCATTCTCCAAACTGAAAGCCAGTAACAGGCCCTTCACAGTGCCTAAACGAAAAAGCACATTGGAGGAGCTGTCATTGAGTCACCACTTTTTTGTATTTTTGTGATCCAAACATACATAAATAGGTCTGTATTTTTTAAAATTAAATTTGAATTTATGCAAGTGTGTCCTTGCCCACTTTTGGGGATCTGAAATGGGCACCTTCACCCATGTGTCCTGGCAAGTGTTTCCTGACAAAGTGTAACAGGAACCCCTGTGCACATTGATTCAGAGTCTTATTTGTGACTTTGTACTCTAATGACAGCTGTTGAAAGGCAAGTTACCATGGAAGAGCAAAACTGCAAGTGACATTTGCCCATAGAAGAGAGTGGGCAAAAGATCACTGCCTTTTCAGTGGGATCCTCTACTGTTTTTAGTTGGATATGATTCTTCTCAGTGTCCTGCATCTTTTCCATTCTTTCCTGAGACTCTAGGCACTTGAGAAACTGCCAAAGTGCAAGCCACCCCTTGTATAGGAGCATGGAACTTTAACAGCTGTCAAAGATCAGGATTCCTTTTAAAATGGGTTTTTTGATAGAACTCACCAGAAGTTTTCAACAAGAACACACACACACACAGCACAAAGAATGAAGAAAAGTAAATCGTGAGCCAGTGGTGCCCCTCCAATGTACCACTTGGGCACTTTGAAGGGGCTGTCACTGGCAACTCAGAGATTGTGCTCTCTGGTGGGGAGGGAGAAGAAAGGGGTAGTGAAGCCACAGTGAGCCAAACAGGTATGCATTTACAATGAGGGGACCTGAACTAGTGGCACTCACTCCACTGTGCTGCTTGGGCATTAGTAGTGTGCCTGGCACTGGCAGTGACTCAGGTGAATTCAGCCAGAATGGCAATGCGGTTCTCACTAACTGCTTTCCTGGACCCATTATGGAGCTTGTTGCCTAGGTTTGGATGATACAACAACCAGTTACGGGCTCAACAACTTTTGCAACAAGCCATAGGTTGTCAGGGGAACTCCTTACCCAGAAACAAGTCACTGTGTGGGAAACAGTCCAGGTTCACATGACATGCCAACATGGCTTGTAACCAGCAATGAGTTGCCATGTCATGCAAACCCAGTCAGTTAAACATACAGTGCAAAGTGCATGGACAAATTTATTTACACACAGGTTTTACTAAAAGCATAAATTCTGGTACTAACTACTGCAGTACATTGAAAGATTGGCCTCACAAATAGTGGCTGGACATAGTCTCAAAAAAGAAAGTACATTTGAATCTGTGAGAAAGATAGTGACAAGATGGCATTTTTAAAAGCATAAAAGTTCTTGCTTTTAATAGAAGATGGAAGAATATGCAGACAAGTAGAAAAGTAAACAGAATTTTTTTCCTTTGGTATGCATTTAGTTTCAAACACTAGCAACCTCTTGCTGCTCTACTTTGTTTTGATTCTTGTAAGTATAATATGGCTGACTAGCTGGCTTGTTCTTGTTGCAGCTCATACAGGAAAATTGAGAAAGGAAGTTAAACATTCTTCAGTGTGACCCTGGTTCAGAATACCTGAGTGTTAAAACTTACAGTCTTCCCTCCTGAAAGAAAAAAAGGGAAAGGGCTTTCTTAGTCGTTCCTCACTCCCATTATGGAATGTTCTCCTACCTGAAGACCTCCTGGTGCCAATATTGGCATCCTTTTAGTGCCTGGTTAAGAGTTTCCTCCATCTGATTAACTCTATCTGAGACTGTTGACATCAGCTGTTTTTATTAGGACAATTTTAATGTAATTTTAAAAAATTTTGTTTTCACTGTTTTATTTGTAAAATGTTCTGTGTTGATGATTTTCAAGTATGTTTTCATTATGGTGGGGGTTTTTTTTTGGGGGGGGGGGGTTATAATTTCTGAATGCTGCCCAGAGAGCAGTTTTTGAGCAGTATAGAAATGAAAAGCCATTGTTGTTGTATAAATTGTCAAGTCATGAATTATGCACTTTAAGAATTTGCATAAACCAGTATAGCTGGTGCTGTCTGAGTGTCTGTAGCTATATCTGTGTTACATAGAGAATATTCCTAGTGTGGTGTAGTGGTTGAGAGTGTGGGACTGGGACTCGGGCAATCTGGCTTCTAGTCCCCACTTGGCCATGGAGCCAACTGGGTGACTTTGGGCCAGTCACAGACTCTCAGCCCAACCTACCTCACAGGGTTGTTGTTGTGAGGATAAGATTGAGAGGAGGAGACAGAGAATGATGTAAACTTCTTTGAGTTCTTAAAAAAACAAAAAAGGCAGGGTATAAAATAAACAAACATACATACATACCTTCCTGGGCAGCTAAACTATACACAGAATGTTCCTTTATTTTTAAGATAGGGAAATATAGTTGTCTTATCCACTTTGCTTTGCTTTTAATGCTCTTTTTTATCTTGTTTTACAGTCTGTCATTCTCTGTCATGGAGCTCGGATAGGATTTTTCCAGGGAGATATCAGGCTTCTCATGGATGACTTGAAAACTTTGCAGCCTACAATATTCCCAGTTGTGCCACGCCTGCTGAATCGAATGTTTGACAAAGTAAGTCCATGTGCAACTGAACTGAATACATTAAAACTTAAAAAGAGCTGTTTTGCTCCCTGATGGATCTGTGTGTAGCTAACATCATAGACATAACAAGTATGATCTTTCAAGGACTTGCTCAGTAATAGTTGTGCCTAACCCAGCAAAGGATCCATACAGCTTGTGCTGTAAGATAACAAAATTGTGCTTTCTTCTTAGATCTTTGGTCAAGCAAATACTTCATTTAAGCGATGGATATTGGATTTTGCTTCCAAAAGAAAAGAGGCAGAACTTAGAAGTGGTATAATTAGAAATAATAGCCTGTGGGACAAAATGATTTTCCGTAAAATACAGGTAACTAAAATACAGGTAACTGTTTCATCTTTTTAAATTGCTGGATCCTTGCTCAAAGAGATGATCAGTTTGCTATTGAAAATAGTGTCTTCTCTGCAGAGAGCAGAGAAGTAGCTTAACTCTCAAGTATGCCCCAGACTAAGATTATGATGATGGAAAATGCAGTTAAGAATGTTGGATGTGCTTTATTAATAGGCAGACTGTTTTTCCATCTAGCTCAATATTGTTTGCACTGGCTGGCAGCAGCTTTTCAGTGTATCAACCTTAGTCAACTTGGAATTGCTTTAGGCTGAATGTGCTCCAACACTGAGCTACAGCCTTCTCCCAAAGAGTTCAGAACACATAACGTGCCATGTTTTGTTCCAAACTGTCTTGCTGCAGATTGCATATTGAAGATGTCCATCAGGGAGGATCAATGCTTGCTAGCTTTTCAGAGGCAGGAAGTTCTTGAGGTGGGGAACAATTCAAATATGCAGCTGTCTGAAGTAGCAGATAAACTTCAGGACCCTTCATATAGTGACTTCAGCCCATATGGTGATTGTGTCATTTTATGCGCACAGTACCTTATCTGTCACATGGAATCAGTGCTCCTTAGTAGGGCAGAAACTTCTTTGTGTGACAAGTTGGTCATATAATTGCCACATACGAACCTTCAACGCTTTTGTTTGGTGACACAAATTTGCAAATGCATGATCCAGTGTCTTGCAAAGCATGGCCACCTAGTGTCAGGTTGGCAGATCTGGGGTTCTTCCTTAAATTTGACTGGTTCTTCATCGTGGCCTCTGTGCATCACACATATGGGTGCTGGGCCTGCGCAGTGCCTAGGCCGGAAAGATTGAAAGCTAACGGTTTTGGCAGGAAAACTCCGCTCCCCTCCCCGCTTGGTAGTATATATACAGAGCGGAGTGTCTGCCATTTTCTCCAGTCTTTTGCGACCGCTGTGCCTCGTGCCTGTTCGTCTCTCGCTCGACTCAGTATTGTTCGTTACTTACCGTTTGCCTTTTTTGCTCTTATTCCAAGTTATTCTTCCCTCGTTGCAGTTTATATCTCCTTTTTCGCTTTTCTTTGTTCCTATTTAAAAAAAAATCAAAAATATATTGCTTTTCCCTCTTTCCTATATTCTGTTTCTTCTGTTTCTGCAATGGCGCAGCGAGCGGCCTTCCGCAAATGTGCGGAATGTGGGTCCAAATTGTGTCTGGCGGACCCGCATGACTTGTGCCTCCTTTGCCTCGATGAGAGGCACAGGACTGATAAATGCCGCTATTGCCTTGCTTTTACTAAGCAAGTGCGAAAAAATAGGGAGAACCGACTGTGGAAGCTCCTATGGGATCAAGTGCTGATGCAATCAGATCAGCCTGCAGTAAAGTCTGGGCCAGTGCATGCTCCATCTGCTAAACGCAAGACCACAGCCTCGTCCGCGTCAGTTCAATGCCCAGACTCTGCCTCGGGCATGTCCGGGCAACGCCCTTCGCCCACGCTGCCTGTGCCTCAGCTGCACCCATCGGATGATGGAAATTCCCCTTCCGGAGCTCAGCAACTTCTTTCTCCCCCACATAAACAACGGGAAAAGAGGAAGCATGGGGGATCGGATCAGTCTTTGGCCCATAAGAAGGCAAAGAAAGATAAGGCGCCCAACCACCTCATAAGAAGAGGCACCGGGATTCGGGTTCGACAGCACCATCGATCCCGGCAGCAGCTTCGGTACCAACGCCATCGGTACCGATGCTTCAAGTGGCGATGCAGGTTACCCCTCCAGGGTCCCCAATGCAACCTGGGCCTACCACAACAGGGCCTACCTATCCAACCACCCGAGGAGCCGCACTGTGAGTCGATATCCGATGGGGAGATTCAGGACTCTCCTCCGAGGGCTCGTTCCCTGACTCCTATGCCTACGGCGAGAGCTAGAGACTGATCTCCATCACCACCACCTCGGTCCCGAATGGACAAGAGGCAGGAAGAAGGATGGTTCCAGCCCTATTACAACTACCAGTCGGGTTGGGAGGACTACCATTCTTTCGGATTTCATCCTCACCCACGGGATCGCTCCTTGCCTTCTGCACATGAGGATATGCCATCTACCTCCTGGCAGGTCAAACCCGAACATCCCACTTCACCAGGGACTTCCTCGTCGGAGCCATACCACCTCGGGCCCAACTCCGACTCGGATGCTTACTCTACCTCTCCGGATGGCCTGATCACGTCTCAAGGCCCATCATCGCCTGAAGAGCCCCACATATCTTTCGGGGAGCTTATGTCAAAACTTGTTTGGTCGCTTGAGATCGAGGTGCAACATCAGCCAGATCCAAGCACCGACAAGTTCTATGACATTGTCAGGGGAGAACAATCGCCAGCAATCGTCTTGCTGCTTATTACGACTCTGCGGCAGGCGATGACGCAACCTTGGGACTTGCCTTCCCAAACTCAGCCTACAGTGAGGAGATACGAGTCCATGTATCGGGTCCGAGAGAGCGACATTCCTTTTTTACTTCACCAGCCTAAGCCAAACTCTGTGGTGGTCGAATCATCCCAGGGCAGGGAAGCAAGAGGCCATACTGCCCCCAGAGACAAAGAGGGTCGCAAGATTGATACCCTGGTGCGCAGAGTCTATGCGGCTGCAGGACTCGGGCTTCACATGTCCAACTATGAAGCCACCCTGGCCAGGTATCAATTCTTTATTATGTAGAGGCTGAATAATATCGTCGCTCCCCTACCTGAACAACAACGGGATCTTGCCAGAACCTTCATTAAAGAGGGGGTGCAAGTCACCATTCAACAACTATCCACAGCATGCCACCATGTGGATACGGACTCGAGATCTCTTGTGGGTGTTGTCTCACTGAGAAGGCAAGCCTGGTTGCGAAACTGCAACTTCCCTGACGAAATGAAGTGGTGAATAGAAGAAATGCCCTTTGACGGCTCCGGGCTTTTTCGCTCCTGCACCGATCACAAACTAAAGTCCATCCATGAATCCCGGATGACGGCTATAGGTATGGAACTGCCCGGACAACACAAACGTAAGTGGTCATGGTCACGTCTGTCCTACCGCTACCAGCCACCGTAGCGACAGTACCAACAAAGGCCACAACGCAGAAGGCAACAACCTCATCAGCGTTTCCCACAAAACCGTCGACGTTTTGATACCGAGAAGCATCAACACTGATGCGTTGGGCGAACCTCTCCTCCACCTCCATACCCACCCTTCCCCCTCCCTTTTGGGGAACGGCTGCAAGGCTGACTCCCCATTTGGGAGTCCGTTACATCTGCTCGGTGGGTCCTGTCGATCATTCAGCTTGGATACAGAATAGAATTCGATACCGTTCCTCCATCGAGCCCAGTTCGATTTACACCACGCTCCCCAGTGCTAGTGAACGAAGTGCAACAACTGCTTTGTAAGGGGGCGATTTGACAGATTTCCAGCTCCGAAAGGCTTCACAGATTCTATTCCAGATATTTACGGTCCCGAAGCAGGACGGTGGTCTTCATCTGATCTTGGACCTCCGGAATATCAACAAGTTGATCAAACCAAAGAAATTTCGGATGACTACCCTTCAAAATATCCTTCCGCTGCTGAGGAGAGAGGATTGGTTCGCCTCCCTTGACTTAAAAGATGCCTATTTCCATATTTTGATTCATCCAAGTCATAGGCGTCTTCTGTGTTTCACCGTCGGAACTGACATTTATGAGTTTAATGTCTTTCCGTTTGGCTGGGCCACAGCTCTGAGGGTCTTCACGAAATGTATGGCACCAGTCTGTGCTCACCTTCGACTTCAGGGCATCCAAGTCTACCCTTACCTGGATGACTGGCTTATAGTGTCACAGACCCGTGAAACCCTACTGTCAGCTGTTCAGGCTGCTTGCATACTGTTGGACAATCTTGGACTTTGCATTAACAGTGAAAAATCATCCCTTGTCCCTACACAGGTGATAGACTTCATTGGAGCTCGTCTCGATTCCACGGTAGCGAGGGCGTTCCTCCTTCAAGCTCATCAAGACAGCCTCTGCGTCTGCATCCCTTGGATTCGACAAAGCCGCGTAGTGACAGCACTCTCAATACAAGGACTTTTGGGTCACATGGCCGCCACAGTCGCCATTGTCCCACATGCCAGGTTGAAGTTCCGTCCTCTTCAACTCTGGTTCAACAAGAACTTTCATCCACAAAGAGATTCACCCAGCAAACTACTTCATATGCCCCACGCTGTTTTACGAACATTGACTTGGTGGATATCCCCGGCCAATTTAAACATGGGACCCCCTTCATCACCCCTCACCCAACGATGACTCTATACACTGATGCTTCGCTGGTCGGGTAGGGTGCGGTATGCGCAGGGCTTCGATCCCAGGGCATATGGAACCGCCAACAATCGTTGAGCCACATAAATTACCTCGAGCTACTAGCGATTTTCAAGGCACTCCGGTCCTTCGAAGTAGTTCTTCGCTACCAAGTAAGGGGAGGGGAGGGGGGTCGCTTTGGTTTACAGGACCAAACAGGACTTCCGGTCCCTTCAAGGCCAGGGCTGGAGTGCCTCTACTTGGTGTTGGGCGACCAAGACAGACTGGGGATTCTGTTGGTGTACCGTGCACCCTTCTGCCCAACAGTCGCCCTGCCTGAGCTGACGAAGATCGTCTTGGACCTGGTGTTGAGGACCCCCCAGGATGTTGATCCTGGGGGACTTCAATCTCCATGCCGAGACTGGCCGAGACTGGTCTGACCGGGGCGGCTCAGGACCTCATGGCCTCCATGACGGCCATGGGGCTGTCTCAACATGTCACCGGCCCAACCCATGAACGTGGACACACTCTGGACCTGGTTTTCTCGACGGGGCAGGAAGAGGGTGGTCTGAGAGTGAGGAATTTATGTCTTGACACCCCTGTCATGGTCAGATCACTTCCTGGTGAGGTTTGTGCTCGAGAGCAGCCTCTCCCTCTGTAAGGGTGTGGACCCGATTGTGTGGGTCCACCCCTGGAGCCGGATGGATCTGGATGGATTCCTGAAGGCCCTG